GGCTCAGGGAGGGCCAGCCATCTGGGTTGGAGTGAGAGTTGGGGTGAGAGAAGGAAGACAAGACAAAAGAAACGCTGTGGAAGACAGCTAGAGATGTGGACCCACAGTAAAAAAAAAAACAAACAAACAAAAAAACTCTGTAGTACATTGTGGGAAAAGCATTATCTTCTGTAACTTAATTGTTAATCTGTTACTCAGGTCCTGTGTGTAGCATGAGCGGCCATGAGGAAGGTCTTTGTCTATTGAAAAAGCTGTAAAACTGATATAAAATACAGCTAAAAGTCCTATGCCCTCTTTCATATTTTAGCAGGAGATCAATATGACAGAGCAAACAGACAATAAGATAAAATTGTCAACAATTGTTTACTTTTGTTACTCCTGCCCCAGACACATCTGTCCAGTAAGTGGGCTGAACATTCTCACAACAAAGGTGTGAAACCCTGTTAAACTTGAGTTCAGTCAGCTTATTGGCTTATTGGTCAGACACATCTGCTTTATTGGCCAGATGTGCTTGGGGCGGACTGAACATTCTAATGTGCTTCGTAGTGGCGCATTTTTGTTTGCTTAGATTTTCTCTATGTGAAAAGAGCTTATTTATCAGCTTATTTAGGTAAGAAAACACCCTTTAAAAGGAGAGGAGACAAATGACACTTATTCTTGTCCTTCCAAAACCAAAGCCAGTTTCCAAAATCCACCTTGCAGATGTTTCCAAGGATATCTGGCCCTCCTATGCTGTAACAAGTACAGGACAGTATTTGGGATAGTGCTTCAAGAAATTATCGACTTTCCTGCTTTAAGACCTGAGTTTATTCCTTCTAAATGTTTTTAATTCTGTTTACCATAATTATGCTCTTCAGATTTATTTTCTGTTTAGCTTTTGGGTTTTGGATAACAATGAACACAAATGTTTGTCAAAATAGATGTTTCACTGCAGGTGGTGACATAACTTTTCTGCAAACATTTAGATTTTTGGTTGAGTCTTGTTAAAGTGAGACTGTGTTCTCAAACAAAAATCAGCATCACAAATCAATATGAGCACATTATTACACTAATACGAATGTCTAATGACAGTTATTTATCTTAACATACTTTTAGCTGGTCTTCAGAGTTTTCTCACTGATCTTCAGTGGTTAGTCTCGTGCCACTCGTGTAAAACTTATCAAATAAAGCTGTAGTCATGTTGTTATACCTGAATTCAGTTTTCATTTAACCATATGGGTGCAGCACACAACACAGGTGTTGTGATAACAAATGGGTGGAATTAAAAAAGACTGAATGGCTAACCCTTCCTCTGTTAAAAATGTAATCTTGAATCAAATGTCATGCTTTGTTTTTTGTTTTTTGCTTGTTTGTTTGTTTTAAAGAGAACCAGTATGTGCACATTATTAAGGTTTTAGAAAAAAAGATTTTCAGTTTGTGTCCC